CCCCAAACCCCCAAAACCCCAAAACCCCAAAACCCCTTTAATATTTATAGAAATAGAATTTTTAAAGTTGTTCCAAAATCGCAGCTTTAGCTAATATCGAGTCTGCATATATCATGCCGACCATTGTATTTTCTTTACCTATATCAGTGACTCTGATATTTTTGTCTCCATTCTGCTCATATTTTTCTGCTATTTTCTCAACTCTTCTAGCTTCAGTTAGAATATTCCTCACAGCAGAAAGTTTGTCCCCAACCAAGATTTTGGGGATACTTTCTTTATATTCAATTTTACTGGGGTTCTCTTTTCTCTTCCTTCTTCTTTCAGCAAGATAATCTAGAGCCATATTGAAATTCTTTGAGCCAGGGTTTCTAGAAGGAGACATGTTCAAGTATGATCCTTTGTATCCTCTTTTAGAAGCAGTATCTAAAGATGACCTACTTCTTGTATGAGACTTCTTAATTCTCCTCTTTAGTGGTTTCTCCTTCACAGGATGGAGTTCTTCTCTTGGGGCATATGCTCTACTTGGAGAATGCTCTTCCATGAAATCTCTCTTGCTAAAAGCCAGAGTTTTAAAGTGCTCATCATTAGCAGCAGTACTACTGTTGTGTTCACTTTGATGGTGATAATAGTCTATTGTTTCTGGATCTAACCTCTTATCTATAGATTCTACTTGTTCTTTATTAAGAATAGAATCCTTAGGTCTCTCATACTTTATCTTGGGGATATCCTCTACTGAGGTACCTTGAGCACTCTTAATAAGTTTCTCCATTTCAGTCTTTTTCTTTAAGCTAATAGTTGGTTTATATAGCTTGTTTATAACATTTCCAAACTCTTTGCGCTTCTTGAGCATTCGTTGTTTATTCTCATTCTGTTCTTCCCTTAAAATTTTGACTAAGTCATCTTGCATCTTAACTCTAACTTGTGTGTGAGTTTTCAGATGAGCATGAGTTCTAGCTTGCTTTCTCATTTCTTGAGCCCTTCTCTCCACAGACTCTTGAAGTCTCACTTTGATTTCATTTTCAACGATCTTGGAATGATGATTAAGCTCTTGATTATTAGGTTTATAATGATAAACATCGTATTTCATATCCCTAAGTCTGGCCATTTTTTCTCTAATTTCAGGCAACTCAACCTCTTGTCTGTACTTATTTGCCATCTTCTTATAAGCTGGCTCTACACTTCTGATCTTCCTGATACGTTCTTTGTATTCCTTCTCTTGAGCCTCCCGCTGTTGCTTCCTTTCTTTCTGCTTTTCCTCTGAAGGGATGGTAATTTTATTTCGATTTTATTAAAACTTACTAATTTTAATCTCAAGTTGTTCGTATCTCTTTTGGCGCATGGCGTCTTCTTCTTGACGCCTCCTTTCTCGTTCGAGAAGAGCCTCTTGTTCTTGCTTTTGCTGTTTATTTTTGCTCTGATAGAAGTCTTTTTTGGCGCTCAGATCTGTTCTTCTTTACTCTTTTCATAATTTCTTCATGCGGAGGGATTTTATTGAGGGATTTTTGGGAACCTGAACTTCATGTGCCATCCCGATCGATACTTTTACTAGTCATAGAACTGGACAGATGAGTTCTAAGCTTCTTAATGTCAATCTTTCTCACTTTTTGAGGAGAGATCTTATTCAGGTATTTTATTTCTTGTAGATGTAATTTGTGATCTTCTTCTTCGATAACTTTGGTTAATTCAACAGGCTCTAGAGCTAGATCGATTTGGAGCTTGTCTACCTTTTGTAACACTTTTTGTTCAATTGAGGCTGTTACCTTTTGTATTTCCTGTAAAGTTATTAGATGAACTCAATTATTTTTAGAAAATACTAAAATCTTATTCCCATTCCCTCTACCCCCAACCTCCTCCCCTCTTACCTCCACATTAATCCTTCTCGGGTCATTCAGCCCTCTAATAATCTTATCAAAAACCTTCTTCCCCCCTCTCTTCAAACTATCCATCTCGATAACTCTCAATAATTTATTTATAAAACGGGGTTTTGGGGTTTTGGGGTTTTGGGGTTTTGGGG